TCCAATATGGACAATCATCCTATGGAGTTTGAATATTAAGGGCCAAATGGAACTTAAGTTATGCTCTGGAAACTGTTTTCAGTTTTAAGGTAATAGTGACCTTGACCTCTGACCTTGTGACCCCCCAAAATCAAAAGGGGTCTTCTACCCAATATGGACAATCATCCTATGAAGTTTGAATATTGTGGGGTAAATGGAACTTTAGTTATACTCTATACTCTAAACTAAATTGCTAACAGACGGATGGACGCCAGGAGGTATAACATAATATGCCCAAAATTGTTTTGGGCATATAAAAATGTTTAACCATTCACTCAGTTAAGGACAGAAAATAGTACAAACAAGAGGGCCATGATGGCCCTGAGGTCGCTCACCTGTATATAGGCCCCCGGAGCGGGGCCAGTTAAAACCCTAGGGCTTTTATTTGAACAAACTTGGAAGACACCCATTCGAAGATGTTTCATGATGTTTAGTTTTTACTACACACATATAATGTAAAACAATGACCAAACCCCCCCCCCCTGCCAGGGCCAATTTTAACCCAATGGCTTTTATTTGACCAAACTTGGTAGACAACCATAAGAATATGTTTCATGCTAAATATCTAAGCTCTAGTTCATTGGGTTTTTTAAAAGTAGATTTTTATGTTTTTACTATACAAATATAGTTAAAAACATTGACACCCCAGGGGCAGGGCCAGTTTTGACCCTAGGGCTTTTATTTGAACAATCTTTGTAGACACTTACTAGAAGATATTTCATGCTTAATATCAAAACTCTAGCTATTTAGATTTTTTCAAAGAAGATTTTTGAAGTTTTTGCTATACACATATAAGGAAAATCAATGAACCCAGGGGCGGGGCCAATTTTGACCCCAGGGAATTTATTTGAACAAACTTGGTAGACACCCATTAAAACATGTGTCATGCTAAATATCTTAGCTCTAGCTCTTTGAGTTCTTTAACAGAAGATTTTTTAAGTTTTTACTATATGCATATAGGGAAAATCAATAACCCCCTGGGGCTGGGCCAATTTTGACCCCAGGGCTTTTATTTGAACAAACTTGGTAGACACTCATTAGAAGATGTTTCATGCTAAATATCTTAGCTCTAGCTCTTTGGGTTCTTTAAAAGAAGATTTTATAAGTTTTTACTATATGTAAATAGGGAAAATCAATGACCCCCTTGGGCGGGGCCAATTTTGACCCCAAGGCTTTTATTTGAACAAACTTGGTAGACACTCACTAGAAGATGCTTCATGCCAAATATCTAAGCTCTAGCTCTCAGGGTTTTTTAAAAGAAGATATTTAAAGTTTTTTCTTTTGGTTGCCATGGCAACCAGAGTTCTGCAAGGAATTAAATTCTTTGAACAATTTTTAAAGGTGACCACCAAAGGAACATTCCTGTGAAGTTTGGATGAAATTGGCTTAGTGGTTTATGAGGAGATGTCATTTAAAGTAAAAGTTTACGTACGTACGGACGGACGACGGACAAAAAGTGATCACAAAAGCTCACCCTGTCACTTTGTGACAGGTGAGCTAAAAATGTAAACACATATAATAACATGTAATAACATACAACTTGACAGAGTCATAACGTTTTGTAATTGTTGGCAAGTCATTATATAATTTTCTACCTTTTACCTTAAACTAACTCGGAAATGTTTATGAACTTCGTTAGACTATGCTTTTTTTTGCCCTACGCACATTGCGCATGTGCGGGAAAATACTCAGGTACTTCGGGTCGATTTTTCATAGCTACGGACCACGTCGTAAAAAGGTCTATATACCCCACCCAAACTTCGTTTTTGGGGGTATAAATATTTTTTGATAGTCAGGGGTATCAAGCTGGGGGCAGGATCTAACACCCAAGCATCTGTGGTTTATCATATTAGAACACCCCTTTCTACAAAAATTTCTTTATGTTCACATGAGTGGCTCTATACACAGGTTTAATTGTAAAATTAAATCTTGTAAAATGTTATAAAAAAAAAAAAAAACCAAAAAAAACACCAAAAAAAACAACAGGGATCTCAGGAAGGTCAGAATTTCACATGGCAGACTGTTTGGCCAAAATTTTCATGAGTCATATCAGTTTTTTCTTGTGTTATTTTTCTACATGAATCATTTTCATGTTTCAAAAATTACTGTTTGGGAAGTCATTTTGAGCAGATTTTCAAGTTTAAATTGATAATATTGTGAGGTTAGGTAATTTTTAAATTACGTAAGCTTCTTCCTTAGTCAACAATATGATAAAGATAATTAAGTATTACTAGCACCATGGATAATTACCATAATTATTGTTCCATTTTCACTTACATTTATTGAGGTCAATATCACATGTGTACATGTATAATTTTAGAAATCATAACATGGGAGGTGATATTTACATAAATACTGAATGTCATGCCATAATACTTCACAAATAGTTAATAAAATACCTGTTTCAACGAAGCACACCTATAATTGTATTCATCTTCACTTCTTTGTTATGAAATACGAGTTTATGTTACAAAATTTCTCAATTTCTTGTGCATGGCGGCCATTTTGTCATACTTTCGGTTTAGTTCTATTTATAATCTCAACTCGAGGTCAGATTGATACAAATGTTTTCTGAGGCAAAGTTGTTGAATGGACTAATTGATATGCATTATTTATTGATTTGAATTGTATGTTTGTTCTAAGAATGAAATATTATGACATATTTATTTTATATTGTAACCTCGAACCACCTACATTGTAATTTGCGTACCATAATATTTTGGTACTCATTTGCATACGCAACGTTTGTATCCCAAAACATCACTTTGCCTCTGTCCTTACTGTAGAATAGATGTACAAAATTTTGTCTCATCTAAATCTTTCATAGGTTTCAATAAAAGTTTCATTCATTGAAAAAAATTCATCTTGAAATGTATCCTAAAATATATGATTTTTCCAGCAAACCGAAAGGATGTAAAAATAATATCCGTACTGTAAATTAAACTTTTATCTAAATCAGCTAATTTTTGTGAAAAAAATACAACATTTTTTATTCACTTTCATTTCTTTGTGAAATATCTTACACAATAAAATGTGCAAGTCATTGTCAAGAACCGAAATATTTTACAATTGTATTTCGGAAATGACATAGTCTCCTTTCTGATGGTGTTACGAAATTAATGGAAGAATCCATTATTGAAAGGGGAAATCAACTTCAATGTAGCTCTCAAATTTCTGCTATTCTGATTGACTCTGTTTTGAATTAACATTCACATTCAACAACCTTTTCATCTTTCTAATACTTAAACAGAAAAATCTTCATAACAATGTCTGTTGAGACAAAAAATACAAGATACACTATCTCAATTTAACCCTACAAAGAAAGTCTATATAACCTTGCAATAAAAAAAACCTTTAACCCCCAAACAGAGACCAATTTTCAACTCTAGACCATAATTTGAATATACTTTGTAGAAACCAACAAGCTAATGCCTAGTGAGAAATATCTAAGCTCTAGCCCTTTCCATTTTGAAGTAGAAGAACTTTTAAGTTTTTTCTTTTAGTTGCCATAGCAACCAGGGTTTAGCATGGAATGGCATTCTTTGAACAAGCTTGATAGAGCTTCATACAAAGAGTATTCCTGCCAAGTTTCATTAATATTGGCCGAGTGGTATTTTAGAAGATGTCATTTGAATAAAATGTGGCCGGACGCAAATGATTGGCCATCCTAAAAGCTCACCTGCACTATGTGCAAGGTGAGCTAAAAATGGAAGTCATAGTTGTGTAACTTGCCCAATCATGTACATAATGTGTTGATAAGTGTGTGAAGTATGAAGTCATTGGTATAGGTAGTACTTAAGAACAAGAGGGCCAAGATGGCCCAAGATTGCTCATCTGACCCATGGAACTCATCCGAACAATTACCAAGACAAGCATTCTGACCAAGTTTCATGACAGGTGAGTCAAAAATATGACCACTAGATTGTTAACAAAGATTATCCATATTTGAGCAGTGTGAGCTAGTTTTTAACCCCATGTGACCCATATTCGAACTTGACCTAGAAATCATCAAGACAAACTTTCAGACCAATTTCAAAAATACTTGGATCAAAACAGTAGCCACTAGAGTGTTAACAAGATTTTTCTATTTTTAGCTCCTGTGACCTAGTTTTTCATCCGAAATGACTCATGTTCGAACTCATCCAAGCTATTACCTAGATAAGTATCCTGACCAAGTTTGATGATAATTGAGGCAAAAATGTGACCGCTAGAGTGTTAACAAGATTTTTCTATTTTTAGCTCCTGTGACCTAGTTTTTCATCCGAGATGACCCATGTTCGAATTCATCCGAGCAATTACCTAGACAAGCATCCTTACCAAGTTTGATGATAATTGATTCAAAAATGTGACCACTAGAGTGTTAACAAGGTTTTTCTATTTTTAGACGACGGACATTCAATGATCCTTAAAGCTCACCCTGAGCTAGCTCACTCTGAGCTAGCTCGGGTGAGCTAAAAATCCAACTTGTCGTTTTAGGTTAACCTTGTACGGACGGACGGACGGCCGTACTGACAGATAGATGATGGAGAAGTGATCCCTATATGTTGCCACTACTGCCAAGAGGTGTGTACAATCTCCAGTCTGCCATCTATCCATATATCGGGTTTCATAAAAATATTTATAGTAGTTTTTGCGTTATCATCGTTATCATGGGATCTTGTTTTGTGGATGGATGGACAGAGAGATGGACAAACAGAGGGTAAACCTTAAGTCACCTTCGATTTAACCAGTAAGAGAATTAAGCATAGGAGTATTCTTTCTATGCACTCTACCTGTAGAAAATCCATACAGAATTCTTGCTAATATGTACATCTCTCTGAAGTTACACCTATAATTGACCAATTTGATCAGTTCCAGACTGTCATTGCTAAGCAAAAGTCTAGACAAAATTTCAGGACAAGCAGATGGAGGGACAAAGCAACATCTTTAATGAGGAGCGTCAAAATAAAATGTTCACTTACCTATATTGCAAAAGATCGCAAAGCACATAATGAACAGACTTAATGTTTCCATAAGAAGTTGATCAACATCCCATTTGGCAGTTTCTTTCAATCTCTTACTTCTGCTGGTCTTACTTCTGCTGATATCATTTTCTTTAATCATAACATTAAACAATTACAATGAGATATTGATTCTTAACAAGTCGATGTATGAATTATAATTTACAATTCTCTCCCTTAAATTTAGTTGATGTAATTTTACTCATATTTATGACAATATTTATGAAAGATGGACAGAAACAACAAGGAACAAGATTGCAATTGTGAAACAAGATTGCATTTGTGAAAAATGCTATGCCACAGCATTAATACAACACTAAATAGTAGTGTACGAACATGTTCGAACTCATCCAAGCAATTACCTAGACAAGCATCCTGACTAAGTTTGATGATGATTGAGTCAAAAATGTGACCTTTAGAGAGTTAACAAGGTTTTTCCATATTTGGGCGGTGTGACCTAGTTTTTCATCCGATATGACCCATGTTCAAACTTGAACTAGAAATCATCAAAACAAACTTTCAGACTAATTTCCAGGATATTTGGATCAAAACAGTAGCCACTAGAGTGTTAACAAAGTTTTTCTATATTAAGCTCCTGTGACCTAGTTTTTCATCCGCGATGACCCATGTTCGAACTCATCCGAGCTATTACCTAGACAAGCATCCTGACCGCAGTTTGATGACAATTGAGTCAAAAATGTGACCACTTGAGTGTTAATAAGGTTCTTCTATTTTTAGCTCCTGTAACCTAGTTTTTCAATTCCTAGATGACCCATGTTCGAACTCATCCGAGCAACAAGAAATGTCGAACGACACATATGCCCCCCATTTCTAGCCCTTGACTTACTTTTTTGGTAATTTTGTTAGAGAAACTTGCCATAAAGGGGTACATTGAAGTATTCAATTATGGAAAAAAGAAAAATAATGAAGACTTTGCGATAAACAGTTTTAAAGATAACGAGACATTTAAGGCCCCCGTGACCTTAACCTTTGACCTAGTGATCACAAAATCAAGAGGGGTCATCTACTAGTTATGACCAATCAATATGTGAAATATGAAGACTTTGTGATGAATACTTTTCAAGATACAGTACGCTCACCGCGGCTTTTGCTTTTTCCGCGATACCACCGCGGACGATTTTTTTCTACCGCGGACAAACGCGGTGGAGGTCCGCGATAAAAACAATCATTTCCCCCGCGATCCACGGTGTCTAGTTGTTTCCACCGCGGACCAAAAACCGACGATCGCATTCATATTATCGTTAAAATCAGTCATCCGTGTTTTGCGGGGTAACGCGGGGGTCAGAATAAGTAAATCTAAGAAAAGAAAAAATAAACAAACAAAAAAACTTACATAAGTCTATGACCGAGGACATGCTTTTATTCTAACATGAAGAATAAGAAATTTATACGCAGTCCTTGCATTTTTAAAATAATTTTAATTGTTTATTTTCTCATCGCCAGAAGCCACGGTACACTATCCGTAAATACTACTTTTTAATACCGATACCGGTATACGGCCCGGGTTACTGAGGATGCCTTTTCTTTGATATAAAAGATATTTCTTTGGTTATGATACAGTTCTTACTTTAACAGTACATTTCTTACTACATCCCCATGTTTATTTCATGTCTTGCAACAAAAATAATAATGAAATAAATACATGTTTTATAATAAAATGTCTTGCCGGTAAATCTTCGCTACGCAGAATGTCTGTTGTTTTTTTTTCCTGTCGGTAGTCATAAATATTCATGCAATGTCTTCAATGAAAAAGTGGAAACATGTTCATAAAATACTTTCAACACAAATTTTGCAACTGATTATATAAAGTTACAAAAGGTTTCTTGTCGGTATGAACGTTACAGTACATGCGTTGCATCAGATTTTTTTCTTGTCGGTCACCATATTTTTGATTTTCTATATATGAAAACAAAAGGAAAAAAACAAACACTTAGATTAATTTAATAAATATACCTTGCATGTATTTAATATCATAAATATCATTTGTACGAGTACATGTTTATTAACAAAACATGGGTTCTTGTTGGTCATTGACGGTTCTTGTCGGTAAATAGGGCCGGAAACATATTTGTATAATAAAATATGTTTACACCTGTAACTGATTGAACTATCGGATTTACTGGCAAAAGACAGGGTGAAATAATTTTTTTGGTAGCAAAACGGGCCCAAACAGCTTGTCACTTCAAAACTTTTGTCTATTCACACAAAAATAAATGCATTATTACGTTAACTTAAATAATCAGGGGTCACGGAAAAAGATATAGGTTGCAATAACTTTTGACTAGCTGTACGGGCCCGGACAGCCTAGCTGTTGCAACGTACAAAACATTCTGAAATGGAAAATAAAGGCAAATAAATTAATTTATTGGTCTCTAATATAAATTCTTAACTGTACTATTACATGTTTTTCATAAGTTTACAAGTTCCATAAAATACTTGTAAAATTCCATCGTTTTCACGACGAATACCACCGCGGTCCACGGAGATTGACCACTGCGTTCCCCCGCAATTAACCACAGTGTTCCGCGGGGGAAACGCTTACGGCTGTAGATTTATGTCCGCGGTGGTGAAAATTTTCTGTCCGCGGGGTCAAGCGGACAATATTCGAGCAAATTTTCGTCCGCGATGAGTCATATCCGCGGGGACACGCGGGTTTTGCAAAACCCGCGCTGAGCGTACTGTAATAAGTAGAAACCATTCTGACATTTCAGGCACCTGTGATCTTGACCTATGACCTAGTGACCCCAAAATCAGTACGGGTCATCTAATGTACTAGTTGTGACCAATCACTATGTAAATGGCGACTTTGTGATTAATACTTTTCAAGATAATCAGCAGAAAAAGTTTGTCATTATGGCCCCTGTGACCTTGACCTTTGACCTAGTGACCCCAAAATCAATAGGGGTCATCTACTAGTTATGACCAATCAATATGTGAAATATGAAGACTTTGTGATGAATACTTTTCAAGATAATCAGTGGAAACCATTCTGACATTTAAGGCCCCTGTGACCTTGACCTTTGACCTAGTGACCCCAAAATCAATAGGGGTCATCTACTAGTTATGACCAATCAATATGTGAAATATGAAGACTTTGTGATGAATACTTTTCAAGATAATCAGTGGAAACCATTCTGACATTTAAGGCCCCTGTGACCTTGACCTTTGACCTAGTGACCCCAAAATCAATAGGGGTCATCTACTAGTTATGACCAATCACTATGTGAAATATGAAGACTTTGTGATAAATACTTTTCAAGATAATCAGCAGAAACCATTCTGACATTTAAGGCCCCTGTGACCTTGACCTTTGACCTAGTGACCCCAAAATCTATAAGAGTCATCTACTAGTTGTAATTAATCACTATGTGAAGTATGACGACTTTGTGATCAATACTTTTCAATTTAATCAGCAGAAACCATTTTGACATTTAAGGCCCCTGTGACCTTGACCTTTGACCTAGTGACCCCAAAATCAATAGGGGTCATCTACTAGTTATGACCAATCACTATGTGAAATATGAAGACTGTGTGATCAATTCTTTTCAAGATAATCAACGGAAAGCATTTTGACATTTAAGGCCCCTGTGACCTTGATCTTTGACCTTGTGACCCCAAAATCAATAGGGGTCATCTACTGGTTATGACCAATCACTATGTGAAATACGAAGACTTTGTGATAAATAGTTTTCAAGATAATCAGCGAGAACCATGTGGTCTACCGACGGACAGACCGCCGGACAGACCGACAGACAGACCGACATTAGCAAAACAATTCTTTGAAGGGGGGCATAATTACCTAGACAAGCATCCTGACCAAGTTTGATGATAATTGAGTCAAAAATGTGACCACTAGAATGTTAACAAGGTTTTTCTATTTTTAGCTCCTGTGACCTAGTTTTTCATCCAAGATGACCCATGTTCCAACTCATCCGTGCTATTACTTAGACAAGCATCCTGACAATGTTTGATGATGATTGAGGCAAAAATGTGACCGCTAGAGTATTAACAAGGTTTTTCTATTTTTAGCTCCGGTGACCTAGTTTTTTAACCGAAATGACCCATGTTCGAACTCATCCGAGCTATTACCTAGATAAGCATCCTGACAATGTTTGATGATGATTGAGGTAAAAATGTGACTGCTAGAGTGTTCATGAACAAGTGTGGATGGACAACAGACGACAGACGACGGACATTCAACAATCCTTAGAAAGCTAACCCTGAGCTAGCTCAAAACAAGAACTATCACTAAATGTGATCAATACTCCCGCAAGACTGCTTTGGAAATTGAAAAGTTACTAGTAACAGAATACCTTGTAAAAGATTGAAATAGAGTTATGGTTGTGGGCAATTAAAGATAGTTGTGGTTCTTGTATGTTGCATTTCCTTTCAATGTGGTTGACCATTGATGAAGTTTTATTGAATTACTCTGTAATAAATCCAGAAAGAGTTATGCTTCTTGATCACTGCACTTCCTCTCATTGCGCTTGACCTTTGTATGAAGCACTGAATTCTAAACATTAGTTTTTATGTTATGCACCAGACAATGAAAAGGAACAAAGGGCAATAACTGTAATTAGTCCAAATAGAGTTATGGTTCTTGTGCACTGCACTTTATCTCACTGCCCTTGACCATTGTATGAAGTTTCATTGAATTCCAACCATTAATTTTCAAGTTATGCACTGGACAATAAAAAGTAACAAAGGGCAAAAACTCTTAAATGAGTCAAGAGAGTTATAATTTCTGTGCATTGCGCTTCCTCTCAATATACTTGACCATTGTATGAAATTGTAATGAATTCCAACTAGTAGTTTTCAAGTTATGCTCTGGACAAGAAACAAGAGGGCCATGATGGCCCTGAGGTCGCTCACCTGTATATAGCCCCCCACACCCATAAGAAGATGTTTCATGCTAAACATCTAAGCTCTAGCTCATTGGGCTTTTTAAAAGAAGATTTTTTAAAGTTTTTACTATACACATATAGTTAAAAACAATGACACCCCTGGGGCGGGGCCAGTTTTGACCCCAGGGCTTTTATTTGAACAAACTTTGTAGACACTTACTAGAAGAT